CACAGCCTCCTCTCACAAATCTAATTCACTTGCATGTCATGGTATCACTTCCCTGATGTCATGGTCCTCTTTGAGAACAAAGGACAAATAACAACCTCTGTGAGTAGTAGTAGGAGTTGCCTACTGGATACCCAATTGTAACTGGCCAGTTGGGCAACACAGCGCTCATGCGCTCGCTCTCTCTCTCTCTCTCTCTCTCTCTCTCTCTCTCTCTCTCTCTCTCTCTCTCTCTCGTTCTCTCTCCTTTCCCTTCCCTTTCCTTCCCACTATCTACATAGGGAATCATACCCTTACCTGCGGGTACTCTGCCCAAAGGAATATAAATTTTGATCCCTGAAACCTTGAAGGATATCTTGGGGCTTACGGCCTACATTTTTTTTTTCTCAAGGACCATGCCTAAACCCAAATCACTATGAATCTCTTTGATCAGCCAACAACAGGTCCCAGGCCAAGCCTCACTTGGTCATTATTTGAGCCCTGATTGGCTCAGAGTGAATGTAAATAGCAATTGTTTCTGTTTTGGCTAGAAACCCTGATGGTCTTCCCCTCCCAGATTGATTGATTGATTTTTTTTTTTTGACTAGGTAAAAGAGGCCATTCTCAGCCTCATTTTTTACCTAGCCTTAGTCATTGGGACCTGTTAAAGATCTTAGTTTAAAAAGGCCGTTGCCCACTGCATCCAGTGCCCTCTCCAGTCATCCTAATCTATATCTTGCCACTGGACAGAGATGGCTCTGGAGGAGAAAGTGAGGCTGGTCACTTTGCACAGCCCTCCCTCACTTAAATCCAATTCACTTGCAAGTCCTGGCATCACCTCCCTGATGTCATGGTCCTCTTCAAGAATGAAGGAAAAACACCAACAGCTAACCTCCTCAAAAAAGCTGTCTACAATAGATGCCTCCACTTTCTCTCTTCTCACTCTCTTCTTAACCTCTTAAGATCTGACTTTTGCCCTTCTCGGTCCACCAAAAACTGCTCCTTACAAAGTTACAAAAAAAAAACAACAATGATCTCTTGGTTGCCAAAGCCCTTTCTCAATTCTCATTTTCCTTAACCTCTCTGTGGTTTTTCTGTTGATCACCTCTCTTCCTGGATACTCATTTCTCCCTAAGTTTTTGGGTCACCACCCTCTCCTGGTTCTCTCCTACCTTTCTCACTACTCTTTCCCTGTCTTTTTTGCTGGATCCTCTTCCAGATCATGCGCATAGGTGTCCCACAGGGTTCTGTCCTGGGACCCCTTCTCTTTTCCCTCTGTATTACTTCACTTGGTGATCTCATCAGCTCCCATGGATTTAATGACTATCTCTATGCTGATGATTCTCAAATCTACCATTCCTACTCTAACTCTTATCTCCAATCTTGCACCTCCAACTGCCTTTCAGACATCTTGAAGTAGATATCCAGTAAACATCTTAAGCTCAATATCTCCAAAACAGAATTCATGATCTTTCCCCCTAATCCCTTCTTCCTTCATACCTTCTCTATTACTGTAGAGGGTAACACCATCCTCCCAGTCCCTCAGGCTTCCAATCTAGGAGTCATCCTGTATACCTCTTACGCGCCATATCCAAGCTGTTGCCAAGACCTGTAGATTTCACCTTTGCACCATCTCTCCAATATGCTTCTTTCTCTCCTCTGACACTGCCACCACTCTGCTACAAGTTCTCATCACCTCACACCTGGATTACTGCCTGCTGGTGGGTCTGTCTACCTCAGATTCCTCCTCACTCTTCTATTCAAAGACTAAAGTGATTGTCACTAAAGTGATTAAAGCACAGATCCGATCATCTCTCTCTCTCTCACACACACACACACACACACACACACACACCCGTACTCTACAAACTATTGGGACACCACTCTCTCTTGGTTCTCTCCTACCTTTCTCACCACTCTTTTTCTGTCTTTTTTGCTGAATCCTCTTCTAGATCATGCCCATAGGTGTCCTACAGGGTTCTGTCCTGGGTCCTTTTCTCCCAGGATCAAATACAAAATTCTATTTAGCATTCAAAACCCCGCATAACCTAGCCTTCTCCTGCCTTTCCAGTCTTCTCATAGCTTGCTCCCTGCTTCTTGTCCATTGCTCCAACAAGATATTCCATCTCTCCAGTGGCATATTCTCTGGTTGTCTCCTATACCTGGAATGCTGTTTCTTTTCAGCTCCAACTACACACCTGCCTGGCTTCCTTCAAGTCCCCACTAAAATTCCATCTTCTACAGGAAGTCTTTCCCAGCCTCTTTTAATTCCAGTGCCTTCCTTCTGTTAATTATCTCCTTTTTATCCTGCATGTAGCTTGCTTTGGATATATTCGCACGTTGTCTCTCCCATTAGATTTGTGAGCTCCTGGAAGGCAGAGATTGAATTTTGCCACCTTTTTTATCTCCAGCACTTGGCACAGTGCCTGGCCCATAGAAGGCGCTTAAGACATGTTTATTGATTGATTACATATCTTATCTCCTCCTTTCAGATGTCAGTTCTTTTCTATTTATACCTCAGCACTTGGCACACTTGTTTGCACACAGGAGGAGCTAGATAAATGCTCTTTTCGTTCATTCATTCATTTATAATAGAGTGCCGGACTTGAAGTTCCAAGAGACTCGAGTTCAGATGCTGACTCAGACGCTTGTTGGTAAGTTAATTAACATGTCTGAGTTTCCCCATCTGTAAAATGGGGATGGTAATAGCACCTCACTCCCGGGGTTCTGGAGGATCTAATGAGATATTTGTAAAGCTCTAGCAAGCTTAAGAGGGCCAATTAAATGCTTGTTAGTGTTCCTTTTATTCATTCGCTGATTCGTGCTCGCGTGAAAAAAAGGTGTGGACCTGAACTACTGGAGGGAATTTCCTCCCCTGCAAGTTCTTCATAGCAGTGATAGCCCAGGTCCAGAACGAAAGTTCCCAGAGTACAGGTATGGTTTTGTTTTTCTCTCCGTGCTTAAAGCACTGTTGGCACTTCAAAGATGCTTTCTTAATTTAACTGAATGTCAGGACTCCGTAAGAGTAAGGAAAAAAATTAACTTTTGTTTTCCTCAACCCAATCTCCGATTCGCCAGCGCGCCACAACTTAGCCTAAGCCGATTGGCTCCCAGCCGCAAGGCGCACCTGGGAAACAACCCCTCCCCCCGTAAAAACAAACCCGAATCGAGAACGCCCACAGAAAGACGGATATCTCGCGAGATTTCACGGTCCTGCCCTTCGACTGTCTCCATTTCTTTCGTCACTTCCGCCCCGAGCTACTTAGAGCTCCCGCGAGACGAGAGTCAAAATGTGCGCCTGCCCAGAAGCCGCTGCGCTCCCTCCGTGCCCCCCCACTCCAGCTATAAATGGGTGTGCTCTGCGCCCGCTGTTCTCTTTCGGTCGTGATGGTGGGGTTGTCTTCATCTCTTTTAGAGGTAAGTGACGGTCTGGCCATGCTTGTCCCTACCCGGCTCCCTCCACATGTCTTTATCCTCGCTTCGGCTTCCTCTTTCGGATTCCCTTTTCCTCCTTCGTCCTGTGGCTGCAGGAAAAGTTTGGCAGTGGCGCGGCCTCCTCCAAAGCGCGTGCGCGGAAGGCTTCCCCCACCGCCGGCAAGCATGGGCCACCCTCCGTGCCCGGGCACCCCGAGCCCCATCAGCCGGGGCTCTTCGGCCTTGCTATTCCCCGCCCTGGGGCAGCGGCTCCCTAGCTGTAGGCAGCCAGGTGGTGCAATGGATAGAGGCTGGGCCTGAAGCTGAGAAGAGCCGGCTTCCAATCTGATCACTAGCCGTGTTACTTAGCTCGTATGCCTCAGTTTCCTGCACTCTAAAATGGGTATAATATCACCCCTTCCCTCCCCGAGGGGGGATCAAGTGAAATGACATCTGCAAAGCCTTTAGGACAGTGTCTGGTACGCAGTAGGTGTTTATTCCTTCCCCTTTCCCCCCACCCTCCAGGAAAGAATTTAAGTTTTAATTTTATTCGATTCAATTAATAATTAATGCTCCGTAGTAATAATATGTGTAGAGTGATCCGGGGATTCCTCGAGGAGTTAGTAAGTTTTGGAGCTGGAGGGGACCTTGGAGCATCGAGCTGGCGTCTTAACCTCACTTTCCACATCTTTGTTAGGGGGTAATATGCAGCAAATTGTGAGGATCAAAGTGATAATGCCAACGTTCTGTGGATGTCTTCTAAGTCTATGTAAATAACATTTAGTGCAGAATTAGAAATTTAGTGCTCTCAAGGAGCTTGCTTAGTCTGCTGGCAGCAGTGGGGAGCGGTGGAGAGGACCAGCATATAAACAGTTAAACAGAAGATTAAGAATGGTGGGCTCACCTTCCCTAATAGGATTAGGAAGTGGCAGAGGAGCGGAGCCTTGAGGCAATGGGAGCCGGGCTGTGAAAACCCAACTGCCACGTGGGGATGTAGTGCCGTCTCTAGGAAAGTTAGGTAAGGGTGGCTGTGATAGAAGTTGGGTCAGGTGGGATAATGTGGAAGAGTTCATTAGGAAGCCACTGAAGTTTATTGATCAAGGGACTAGCCTGATTAAACCTATAATCAGTATGGTAGGTAGCTGTAGGATAAGAAGGGGGCCCAGCATTGTAAAGTAACAGTTTACAGTAGCTGGACTGAGTACAACTAACCTTCCAACAAGTACTTTGCTTGGTACTTATCCATATCTCTACAAAGAAAAGGTTTCAGTTTGCCTTGGAGTGCTTCTGCCATGGGATCTTTGGGCATGCCTGGTAACATGGCCATACTTAAGGAAGTGAACTATTTCTGTAGGCAATAATCTTTTGATAAGACTATATCTGAAATGCTCTTTGGATCTTGTTGATTTTTGTTTGGTCAGTTAAACCTTCTTTGAATATCCAACGTGGGTATCCTGGCTAGATGACTCCAGGCTCTGTCCAAGTGGCGAAAGGGAGTGTAGGGCCTTGCCCTGTGACATACAGTCCCATTCCACAACGTTGGATATCAAGCTGGGCCTTGTGTCTGCACCTGCATATTCCTAAACCTTCTCAG